ATGGTAAACCTTTGTCCGTCTATCAGCATTTCACTATTCTAATCTGGGTACAGCCTCTACGTTTACAATAAGATTGACGGAGTCAGTCTCGACTTCCTTGACCAACTAGCCCGCGAACCACACACAGCCGTCATGAGTTGTGAACTGGACTTGGGTGTGGAAGATGTCGTGGATCGCATCTGGAAGGAACTCCGTCTTATCCGGATCTACACGAAAAGGTTCGTCCAGCCACGATGAAGCACCTATTGCTATGAATGGGGCATTGCTAACGATGCTACAGGAAAGGTGAGGTGCCCGACTTCTCCGAGGCATTGATCTGCCGCAGCAACTCAACTATCGAGGATGTGTGCGACAACATTCACCGCACGTTGAAGGAAACGTTCAAGTATGCGATGGTATGGGGAGCGAGTGCACGCCATATCCCACAGCGGGTGGGCTTGGGACATGTGGTGTCGGATGAGGATGTGGTGTCGATTGTTGCTAAATAAAGCGGAAAATAGTTCCTGCATTCTACACTTTAGTTGAAGCAACGGTGACTGTTTTAATATGCCCGGACGGAGTAGATACTAGACTTGGTGTATTCTCTGCAGATCTCGAATTGAATCGTATGAACCCACCGGAAATCCCGCGGAGAAGAATTTGGTGTGGTGAGGGATAATGGGACAATATGGGTTGGTGCAAGTTACGTCACGCTCTGCATCATTCTTCAGTGTTCAGGATCCACCTGGCAGGGAATACAAGGAAGATAGAAAAAGGGTACACGCGTCAGGGTATTGACTACCGGCCTTGCCAAAGCTTAGCCTGCGCACTATAGGAATTACCCGCTTTTCTCGGGCTTATCGCATCCCCATCGGATAAAGCAACTTCCCTCATCTGTCTACTCCATCTCCAGCGCTCTCTATTTCTCTGTCTGTTGCTATCTTTTGCTATCATTCTTCACCATGCCAGTCTGTTTTTGCTGCTCTAGTTTGCCTTCATAAAGAGAATCGGCATGTCACCCCCCCACCGTCAACTTCATCAAGGATCTTCACGGTAAGCAAATACTCTGCCGATCGACGTCCTCTTCATCCCGTTAATCCCGAGTTAACCGGTCCACAGATGACACGAACGGTGCCTGACGATCCATGCCGCGGGACAGTCACTAAGCATTTCGCTTTCGAACCCAGAGGACGCGTACATCTTCTCCCTTGACCAAGGGCTCGTCGTGTTTTTACCTTGTTTACGGATGTCCGTAGTGGGTCAATGATGCTTGTCCTCCTTAATCTAGATACATCGATTGCATGGCTTTGGCGGGATGCCATGACGATAATAATAGTACTATAAAGCAGGCAACGGCCATTGTCGAATTCATGGATGATATAAAACCCACTCTACCGCCAGCTGGTATCTGCCCAGTAGTTCACACCGGCAAGCACATTCTTTCCACGCATTGAAAGTCCCTCTTTTCAGTCACTCTCTCGCAATGCGCTCCAAGATGAGCCTTCTGGCCGGCACGGCCACACTCTCCCTTGCCCAGGCCACCAGCCTGGCGGATGTCTGCACATCCTCCTACGCTCGCTCCGTGGCCCCCAGCAGCCCCCTCATGGGCATCACCGTGGACACCACCTCCATCACCGCCAATCCGGTCTACAACTACAGCTCCGCCTCCACGGCCTTCTGGCCTGCCTCCACCTTCGACTTCTGTAACGTCACCCTGGCCTACACCCACGATGGGCTCGACGACCAAGTCCTGCTGCAGTTCTGGCTCCCTGCCCCAGCCGACTTCAAGAACCGCTGGCTTTCCACCGGTGGTTTCGGCTATGCCATTAACGGCGACGGCGATGACCTGCCCGGCGGTGTCATGTATGGCGCTGCCTCCGGCCAGACGGACGGTGGTTTCGGTAGCTTCTCCACCGAATTCGACGCCGTCTTCCTGAAGGCCAACGGTACCATTGACCGCCAGGCCCTGTACATGTTCGGCTACCAAGCCCACTACGAACTCAGCGCCGTCGGCAAGGCCTTCACTAAGAACTTCTTCAACCTCGGTTCCTCCAAGCTCTACGCCTACTACCAGGGCTGCTCTGAAGGTGGCCGCGAGGGCTGGTCCCAAGTCCAGCGCTTCGGCGAGGAGTGGGATGGTGCTGTCATCGGCGCCCCTGCCATCCGCTACGGTCAGCAGCAGCCGAACCACCTCTACCCGGGTCTCGTCGAATACACCATGGGCTACTACCCCCCGCCCTGCGAACTTGAGAAGATCAACAACATGACCATTGCCGCCTGCGACGCCCTCGACGGCAAGAAGGATGGGGTCGTCGCCCGCACCGACCTCTGCAAGCTGCATTTCAATGTTAACTCCACCATCGGCGCCCCCTACTACTGCCCCGCCGAAACCACCACCACTGTGCTCAAGAAACGTCTCTCCACCAGCAACACCACCCCAGCCCAAAACGGCACCGTCACCAAAGAAGGCGCCGCCGTCGCCGCCAAGATCCTCGATGGCCTGAAGACCCTTGACGGCAAGCGTGCCTACATCTGGTACCAGCCCAGCGCGACCTTCGACGACGCCGAAACGCAATACAACTCCGACACTGACTCCTGGGAACTCGACATCACCTCCCTGGGCGGCGAATGGGTCGCCAAGTTCCTCGAACTCCACGACGTCGACAACCTCTCCACCTTAGACAACGTCACCTACGACGTCATGACGAAATGGATGACTCTGGGCTGGCAACGCTACGAAGACGTCCTGCAAACCACCTGGCCCGACCTGACCCCGTTCCACTCTAACGGCGGCAAGATCATCCACGTCCACGGTGAATCCGACCCCAGTATCCCCACCGGCTCCTCGGTCCACTACCACGAAGCCGTCCGCAAAACGATGTACTCCTCCCTCTCCTTCAACGAGTCCTCTGACGCCCTGAACGACTGGAACCGTCTGTACCTTGTTCCTGGTGCTGCACACTGCACGTACAGCACGGACCAGCCCAATGGCGGCTGGCCGCAGAGTACTCTGCCTACGTTGTTTGATTGGGTGGAGAACGGCCAGAAGCCGGATCGCTTGAATGCTACGGTCCAGGAGGGTGAGAACTATGGTCAGGTTCAGCAATTGTGTGCTTGGCCATTGAGACCTTACTTTGTGAACAACGGGACGGAGTTGACTTGTGTCTTTGATGAGGAGTCGTACCAGACTTGGGTGTATGACTTCGATGCTTATGAGTTGCCGCTGTACTAGGTGTCTGGAAAGCAATTAGTTGGATGAAGGGGGTGGGTTTAGTGATGAATGTATATTGTGTACTATGTATGTCTGAGTGAGATCTCTGCCTTTGTAGTATAATGTATATATCCCAGTTGTAATATGTATGCACTTATTAAATTATTAGTACTTGGATTTCGACGACGACGACGACGACGACCGTAGACTTGTTCCTCCCCGGGACACCGCAGCTATACATAGGAGGGCGCCCAAGGGGCGTCTGCTATGTACTAAGTACTGTATGTACTCGAGCCGATATCCATATTTGACGACCTTTTCTCCCAAGTCGCCCAAGCCCGTTTCCAAAATCGCATTGTCGGACCTCGCGGGAAGAACCGCTTGAATGCAGTGCGCAAAAAGTGAGTGGGGAAACCGCGCTAGGAGAAGGTGTACTAATATGTAAGTTTAGAAGGTGGAGACAACGGAACATCGGAACAAACGTCACTTCCAAAATGCTGGTCTTGATATTGAGTAGCATGATTTACAGGACTCAGTTTATTTGACCTTGGTTGTTACATGGCATTGTTTATTGGCGTGCGATACACTGCATACATAGTCTAAACACCCGGACGAGGGTAACGTTTGGCTCGTAGTAGAGCTTGTATTGCCTCGAGACAGGTTCACCGCATGACACATTGTTTGCTTGTCGAGCTCGGTTCCAAGGAAAGCGCTGCTTTGGAATACGGACTCCGCGAGTCAAGCTCGGCCCTCACAGAAAGTGGGCCATAACCGATCTCCGGGGCTTCATCCAGTCCTTCAGGACTTGGCCACACACTGGCATTCTTCGAGTACCTGCGCTTCACCGAGTCTGGTTTGTCCTTGGCGTGTGTCGATTCGAGAAGTTCCCAGGAAGAATTATCCTTTCGTGTACCCATGGCAGGCAGTGTGGGTATTGTTCGCAAAGTTGCTTATCATCCTTGTAACAGAAGGTCAAATGCCTCAGCCTTTCGGATCCTCTCCAGTCTGGCCATTTATCGTTGTCGTCTTGTGGTGTTTGGACCTGTATATCAGATGTCATTAGCAACCTCATACCAGAGATGGTAAGAAAACGTCTCGAGTCAGTCTGACCGGATCAATATTGCCCGCGGATAGAGTTTCATATCCCTGGCAGTTTGATATGCCAGAGCCACCATATCCCGGGAGCTCTTTCGCGTCGGTTGGCATCTTGCCTCTGTAGAGGTAATACTTGACCATATTGACAGTGGATATGGTGAAGACAGGAAGAGGTGGATCTCAGATTCTAGTGGTGTAAAAGACCTTGAAAGAAACGACAGAGAGTATTGTATGGCTTGGGAACTGACATTCTGAATGACGACTTGCTAGGCATTTATATATCCACGGACACTTAGCTCATTGCATACGTTGCTCCTTCATCCCCAATGCGAACTCCTAGCTCGCTCCCACACTAGGTTGCTGTGAATATCGCTGCGTCAAATGAAACGGACATCATCGCCTCGATGGCAACTAGCAGCCTTTCAGGCACTCATGATGGCGAATAACTGCCCGCGCTACAGGAACCACAGGTCATTTGGGTCACACCTAGGGGTAGAGGGGCTTGCGGCAAAGTAAAATCGAATCTCGGTGTCTGTGTTTACCTGGCGAGAAAGAAGGCAAGGGCTAGAAATCCAACCGAGAGGTCCCGTGATATTAATCATCCATGATTGGTCGGAAGTGGTCAACCTTTTTAAGGGGAAGTGGTTTCAAATGTTGTCACGGTCTTTGTGCCCGCGCCTGCAGATGTTTGCACGTACTTGCATTTACATCAACAATGTCCGACTATCCCATAAGAAGATATGGAGTTGTGTTATAAACCAGCCTTTTGCCCGAAAGATCTCGTTGATGTCCACCTTCGCTCCCCTGAAGTCAGATAAGATGAACCAAGATACAGATGCATCCAATTAATCTCGAACATCATCCGTAAAGCCTAGCAAGCCTCAGTACAGGCTGGTTGAAGACGTCGAGGACCTGCACAGATACTGCCCCGGGGGATATCATTCTCTAGATATAGGAGACGACCTAGACGAGGGCCGAAATCGATTGGTTGACAAACTCGGGTATGGAGGATACTCGACTATATGGCTAGCCCGGGACCTACACCGGGCCAGGTATGTGGCAGTGAAAGCTATTACTGCTGATGCTAGTACCTCTACATCCGAGGCTAGTCTTCTATCCTCTCTTGGAAACTCGCAACCTGGATTGGGAAATGAGATCATCCCACGACTCTTGGATGAATTCTGGATTGCCGGGCCCAATGGGAAGCATAGATGTATTGTTACTCCGCCAGCACGTATGAGCTTGTTTGATGCCAAAGAGGCATCGACTCTTGGTTTTTTTTCACCCAGATGTCGCGCGATCAATCATTGCCCAGTTTATTCGTGGTGTCGCATTCCTTCACAGCCAAAGATATTGTACATGGCGGTATGTGAAATCTATAAACGCGCATAGCTGCATCGATAACTGGATAGGTTAGCTGACTCCAACTTTTTAAAGACCTTCATCTCGGCAACATCCTAGTCCAGTTTCCTAAAGTGATTGATACCCTTTCCACCCCAGAGCTGTACGAGGAATTCGGAGAGCCGTATTCCGAAGCTGTTGTTCGTCTCGACGGAAAGCCATTGTCGAATGGTGTACCCGCACGTGTGTTCATTCCTGGCTGGTACGGCGTTCCCAGTGATGATGTTGTTTTCGGGGAAGAGAAGATCATCCTTAGTGATTTTGGAGAATCTTTCAACCCACAGAAAACAGTCAGGCTCTCTTCGAAGACTCTTCCCCTACTTCAGCCACCGGAGGCTAGATTCTCTGACGAGCCGCTCTCTTTTCCCTCGGATGTTTGGACACTCGGCTGTACCATCTGGGAGATTCTCGGCCAGCGGCCCTTATTTGAGGCTTTTTTTCGCAACTCCCGACCGTGTGACCGCCGAGCAAGTAGAAACCCTTGGCGTCTTACCTCCTGAGTGGTGGGGGAAGTGGAGCGCAAGACGCGAATGGTTCAATGAAGAAGAGGACGAGCTGGATATGAAGAAAAAGTCTAGGGGTCCTGATGGCGTGCGTATGTCCTGGGACCAGAGATTTGAGTACTGTATACAGGAGCGTCGAGCTCAGGCGGGCCTAGAACTCGTGGCGGACACTGAGAGGAGGGCGTTCAAGGCGATGCTTCTATCGATGCTGGCCTTCCGGCCGAATGAAAGAGCGACAGCACAACAGGCTTTGTGCTCAGAGTGGATGAGAGATTGGGGCCAACCAGCTCTCGATAGAGCTGGGGTAATCTGAAACATGAGATGGAGTGGCTTAAAAATGTGCTTGAGTGAGGTCGAGACAACATTCTGAGCCACATCGCAGGCTTTCCTGATATTCTCCCTGAAGGCCTCCTAGTTAGCATGTCCTTCGACAGCGGTGGAAGCTTCTGCTACATTCGACCACCCAGATAAATGAAATACTTGTACTCGTGAATTTGATATTCCGATTTACTTTCTAATCAAGCAGCAGCTCAAAGTGCCAAGCCATTGATACAATGTATGCAGAACGCACATCCTTCGAAGTATGGCGCGAAAGTAAGCTTTTGTGATTGCGAGCGCGAAATGTCACTCCATGCATAAAGGTGCTGATTGGACTGCGTAGGTCTTCAGGGTGGTAGTACTGTGACATTTGTACCGTATCACTTTTTGCTAGATGTTAATGAAAAACTGACTGAGAGCTATAACCCCGCCATACCAATCGCTCGTGTCTACAGCGGCAGTGTGGGGAAGATCACACATACACTATGATTAGCGATGCGTGACCCCATCGCAGGAGAACTCACCCCACCGTGCGAGTTCTTGCAGTACTTATGAGCCCTCCAGATTCCTCATTCCTCATTCCTCATCCTGCTTGGTAAAAGGATGGTTCGGGGTCTGAATCCACGGCGTAAAATGGCTCGAACCATGAGGTCGAACTACAAACTATGAGGGCCCGGGCACATATCAAACTAGCTGCTGTCAGACCATCAAGTACGGAGTGTCACAAACATAAAAGAATCTTTCTCAGACCCTCCATTTACTGTGCTTCGCCTTGCCGACATTTTCTCTAATATCAGAAACGATTCTAAATCAGTGCCCGACAGAGCGGTCTTTAAAGGATGAGTAAACACGCAACGGCAAGCTATTACTACATGTGTTATTGTCGAATTTATAGTACGAGTGTGCATGATATGTGAAGTGATAATATATATTCCTAAACCAAAATGTACCCGAACTAAACCGAATGAATCATGTACAACCAAAGATATTCCGACCTAAACCCAAACCCAAACTCCAGTTCCAAATGACATTCCTTTAAGCGGCAGCGGCGGCGGCAGCAGCGGCAGCGGCCACGTTCTGCATGCCAATGGTAGGCTGGACGCCCACACGTTCCTTAGCCAAGAGGTCAACCAAGAGAGGGCTGGGGACGGTGTTCCGGTTGGGGTGGAACGCCAGCTGGTGGTTCTTGTATTTGACGACGCTGTCCAGGTAGATGTCGAAGAGGTAAGAGGAGTCCAGGGGACCGCCCTTGGCCTCGGGGTGGAACTGAGTACTGAAAATGGGACGAGTCTTGTGGATCATACCCTCGTTGCTAGAATCGTTCAGGTTGACAAAGTAGGGCTTCCAGTCGGAAGGCAGAGTGGAAGCATCCACGGCGTAACCGTGGTTCTGGCTGGTGATATGGCAGCGGCCAGTAGTGGTGTCCAGAGCCGGGATGTTGTGGGCACGGTTACCATACTTGAGCTTGATGGTGCGAGCACCGTTGGCCAGAGCCAGGAGCTGGTGACCCAGACAGATACCGAAGATGGGCACCTGGGAAGTCTCCATCAGGCGACGGAGGTGGTAGACGGTGTCCTGGCAGTGAGTCGGGTCACCGGGGCCGTTGGAGATGAAGACACCATCGAAGTGGTGGGCGACCTTGTGGATGGGGTAGTCGAAGGGGAACACGGTGATGCTGGCTCCGCGGCTGACCAAGCTACGCAGGATGTTCTCCTTGACACCGCAGTCGATCACAGCGACGTGGCACTGAGGGTCGGCGGCGCTGACGTGGAAAGGAGCCTTAGTGCTGACCTGACGGACCAGGTGGATCTGCTCAGGGTCGACGAAGGCCTCATCCTGGTCAGCGTCGTACTCCTCACCAACGGTGATACGAGCGAGGGAAGAACCCTGCTCACGGAGGTAGGTGACAATGGCACGAGTGTCGACGCCAGAGATGGCGGGCACACCCTCACGAGCACACCATTCACCGAGACTCTCGACGGCAGTCCAGTGGCTGTACTGCTCAGCCACATCGGCCACGACGACACCAGCGGCCTGGAGGTTGGGAGACTCAAAGTACTTGAGCAGACCGTGCTGGTCCCTCTCGGCAGAGGGGACACCGTAGTTACCGATCAGAGGCTGGGTGAAGACCAGGATCTGACCACGGTAGGAAGGGTCGGTCAAGGACTCGGGGTATCCGACCAGAGAGGTGGTGAAAACGGCTTCACCGGAAATGTTGGAGCGGGCTCCAAAGGACTTTCCATGGAAGATGGGGCCATCTCGGATCGTGAAAGTGGCACGTTCAGTGGCGGGACGTCCCTGACGGACGGTAGCCATGAAGCGGGACTGGATAGAAGCATTCACGGAAGTGAAGGCAGGGGCCCTGGCGGGCATGGCCTTGAACACACGAGCGAACATTGTGATAGGATTTATTTAATGTGAAAGAAGAATAGGGCGGGTTGTGTGAAGTGGATTCAGAAGTTTCCGGAAGCTTTCCAGAGGTGATCCGAGATGTAGTCCTACAGATATCATGTTAGTATTCTATCAATGCCTTTCAATTCGATGATGGGATAGCCATGACGAGTGACGATAGTGGCGGGGAGGGGAATGCGGAGTAGCCATGGGAACCCATAGTACTGTGGTAGACAACGTACCTGAGAAGTGAAGACGGAAGGTGCCAAACGCATAAGCGCGACTGTGCTGTTACCAGTCACTGAGGATTGGTATACAAGATTGATTGGAGATGGGAGGGGGTCTAATTAGTTAGACATGGAAGTGCGTTGATGATTCTGGGGGGAGCAATCTGGGATACGGAGAAGAAAGGAAAGGGAGAGAAAGAGAGGGAGGGACCAAGAGATTAAAAAAGAAGGGAAAAAGTGTGCCGGCCCGGTCGGGTGGCACGTGCTTTCCTCACTCACCGACTTGGTTGTTGCGTGTCCGGCCAATCGGAGGGCGGCCATTCGACAGTCCGCTATCGGGGAGGCCAACTTTGGCAGGGTTTTATTCATTCCCTTGACTCACTCTTCCGCCGATTCTCGCGCCCTTCACTTGATGGATCCATTTTTTCTTCAATAATGAACCCCAGTTCCTCTGAACAGTAAGGATTAGTGCAGCTCAACAACAGGAACAGCTGCCCAGCCATTCCATGGCCGCCCCAAACAGGGGGCGGGCTCTCCCTTCCCCTACCACTGAGCACTCGCCATGACTCACTATTGATGTAAGTCTCTCCACTTGGTGGGTTTCGTAGTTCTGATAACCCCAAGTATGGCAGATCTTGGTGACTAACTTTTACATAACTGATAGCTTCATTCTCTCTTTCCGGCATACTCTTGACTATTATAAATAGTCTATCCCCGGACAACAATCAAGAATGCTGGGGTTATTCCAGCTCATCGTATACAACCACTACTGCTGGATAGTAGAAGGTGATGATATATAAAATGCAAGTTGGCGCCGAGTGTTACACCGCTAGTCAGCACAAGGAAGACGTCTAATACTCGACAACCAATTGAGTCGTCGCATTGCTCACACGCATCCTAGGCTAATGTGCAACTGTAACCAGAGGAGCCAACCAGCTGCAGACAGTCTGCTGAACTAACCAGTGAGCTTTCCAATGCAGCGCCGGCTCATTTTTGCAGCATACATGACCGTGATACCCGGTAGATTATGCGTTCGGAGACTTGATTTAAACCAATACATAAAACTTCAATAGAAACATACATTGCACTATATGTCACGCATCAAAACTATAATCATCAAATTAGTACATCTCTCCGAGATAACACATCAATGCACCTCATCCTCATAATCCTCCTTCTCTCAGCCCTAACACTCACCCTTACCCTCCCCAACCGTAACATCAACACCAACAATGATCAAACCCTTCTCGCCCCCTCTCCTACAGACTCTCAACCCCTAGACGACCCTCACTGCAACGGCACCGGCCTCATCGACCCCAATGATCCTAACCAAGACCACCCCTGCACGGGCGATGGCCTGATCCCTCCATCCCCCTCAGACCCTCCTCGCGAGGGCTTCCACTTCGAGAATCCCTCGACAAATTGCACTTACGTCTCGCAACCCCACATCTGGGACTCGTTCAAGATTCTGGAAAAAGACATGACGAAGCTCTTCACGCTTATCCACAAGAACGTCAGTTTCACCGTTGTAGGACACCACCCGATTGCGGGACATTATAACGATCTGCTGCACTTTTATGTGAATGCATTGCGAAGAGTGAGTGTATTGTTCATGGATCATGCCGATAAGTTTGAGATTCATCCGGTTGCGATCATTGGGGGTTGTGAGAGTCAATGGTCGGTGCAGGAGGTGAATTTCAAGGGGGTTATGAATTCTGGTATTATCACTTCCATCCTTTAGTATATTGTGTATTTGAGGGATGAAGTATACTTATGATGTGCAGGAGACCCATTTGATATCATCAACGTGTGGGTGACGAAGTGGTATCACGATCAAATGGTGGAGATACGGACGTATATTGATGCGCCGAAGATCATGGAGGCGTTGCATAAGAATGAGATCTGGTGGAATGGGACGTCGGAGAGGGAGAATATGCTGTATATGCCTGGGCCGGCGGGGATGCCGGATTTGAAGGAGTTGGAGGGATTTATGGGGTATCCTGATGGGAGGAGATATGAAGATTGACCTATATCAATCCATCTATCAAATGTTTCGAGAATTAAATATAGCTAAATCTTATAATACGATAGCAAAGACCAACCATTCGGTCTGATATATATCTCATACTCTTACTACACAGTGCAAACATCATTTGAACCACATCGAAGAAATCAAACCACATAACCATTGAACCAACCAAGCAACTAACATCACCTCAATCCCTCCCCAGATAATCATCAAACTCCCCCTCCATCCATCCCCACAACCTCCTCGCCAACTCCTCATCCCTCCCAAACGCCGACTTCCCCAGCACGCCAACAGGATCATAGTACTCCCCACTACTCACCTCTCTCGACACCGCTGCCCAAAGCTGATTCCTAACCCCAACCTCCAAGCTCGACGCAAGCCTCAACACCAACGCCACCCTGAACAAAAACCGAATATACCCAGGCGCACCCGTAGCCCCATCGCCGAGCGTCGTGGCCACCACGCCCGGATCAATCGAAGCAGCAGTCAACCACGGATATACTTCCGCTAACATCCTCACCCAAAGCACAAGAGCCAGCTTACTCTGCCCATACCTCGCAAACGGACCCATGCTCTCCCCATTCGTCTTGAAAGTCTCGAACTGCAGTCCCCCAGGCGGCGCATACCGCTGTCCATGCGACGCCACAGCCACAATCCTCACACGACCACCTACACCAGCGTCGTTCCGCTTCGCTGTTCTCTCCATAATGGGCAATAACAGCCTCGTGAGCAGCGCATGGCCCATAAAGTTCGTTCCGAATTGCACTTCGTATCGTCCGTCGGGAGTCATTCCCGGTGGTGCGGCCATGACGCCGGCGTTGAGCATCAGGATGTCGAGGCGGGTGGCGGTAGAGAGGAATACCGATGCGGCTTGCTTGACGGAAGAGAAGGAGGAGAGGTCAAGTTCGAGGAGGTGGATGCCAGCTGTGGGGATTTGTTGTTTGATTGAGTCTGCTGCGGATTGTGCTTTGGTGAGGTTGCGCGCGGCGAGCCAGATTTGGGATGGGTTGTGCCGGGAGAATTCGAGCACGGAGGCCTTGCCCAGACCGCTGTTGGCGCCGGTGATGAGGATGGTTTTGCCGGTTAGGTCGGGGATGTCTTTGGTGGGGTGGAAGGGCATGTTGTAGTAGTTGTGGCGGTGGTGGTATTGGGGAGATGAAGGCTTATGGAGGGTGAAGAGGATTGGGGGATTGAGAATGGTAAGAAGATGATTGGGATTAGAATTGAAGATAAAGCCATGACATGGCTTCTCCTTATATATGGGAAGGATGTACTAAGGGTTTTGGATATATGTGGATCGGAGTAGGAGCTATGACACTCCGCTCCGATGGACCGGACCATGCCTCAAATTCCTCCGTTTGCAAATGGATGGGTGACTGCTTGTTGGTAAGCACCGAAAAAACTTGTATTTCTACAGTTACCTGCTGCAGAAAATCACCAACTCCACATATTGCGGAATTCACTAGAGAACAAGTCCAGATCATCCAAAGTCGGCTCCCAAGAGTCCTCCATCATTGGCATCACCGCCGTATCCCACGACATCCTCATAGCCTCCATTTTCGCTGCCATTATCATGAAGAAGTCAAGTTCTTGAGTAGCTTCTGGATCCAGTCCAGCTGCTTCTTTGACCTGCGTGAACCGCTGCGCCGCCGTCTCCAGTACCCATGACACATCTATTGTCTCCCGCACCAGCTTGCGGTCCCAGACGGGGTACTCACAGACAGTGAGACGGTAGAGGTTGATGAAACTGCGTGCCATGTTGGCGCACATCAAGCATGAAAGCCCGACATATTCAACGGGTTGCAGGGCTAAAATGGTGTCGGTCCAGGACTTGATAGTCTGGAGACAAGCACAGAGACATTCGAATTGCTTGTTCGATCGCTGGGGAAAGATGCTTGGGTCTGACGAGAAGCCGATCTCGTAGATCATCATTTCTGCGCTGTATAGCTCCATTTGCAGGATCTCTGTGTGCCGTTAGCTGGGTATTCAACGGGGGTTAAGAGCTTACTGTTGTCAATGAGTTCAGGAGGTATTCGTGATCGGAACCCACTAATCTGCTTTTGAAATGACTGCAGATATATTGGAGCCGATGGCCGCAGGAAGTGAGTGTCGCCCGGCCCCGTCACTGGTGCGTCCATCACCTTTCCTGTGATGAGACGTAGTCTGACAAGCTGCACCAGCAGGGTATCATTAGTTGATTCCTTTTGCTCTTCGAATACACGAAGACAGTCGTCGAATGAGGGCGTCCACTGAAGTGGCTCACCGTTTCGGGACACATTCGACCTTGGAATGTTAGACAGCATCTCTACCCTAGTAGGATTTACCTACGTGAAGCTGACGAGAAAGCACCCCAGCAAAGCCCTGCGTTCCTGCATGGTAAGCAGCCGAGAGTAGTGGGACGGCCGATTGTGCCCCTTCAAATCATAGCTAAGCAAGAGACTCGGGTCCTGCGCCGGTGGTTTGTCCAAGCCTAGGTCGTATACAATTGCGATAGCCAACTGCATCAAACTAGTAAAAAGCGGCTTATCAAGGGCGTAGTAGCGATCCCAGGTGGCGTATACCAGAACTGCCAACAGGAAATCTATACTTCTTGTGCCTTCTACAAACGCCTCGCGGCCAAATATCTCTCTCATCTGCCTAGACATGGCTTTCTGCTGCGTTGTCCGCGTAGATGCGACAGTCATTATCGCAAGCCACAGCAGCGCGCTCTCGTGATGCAGTTGCCTGGCAGTTTGAGAGGCTGGGATATCAAGAAAGGGCATATGGCCGATAAAATCGGAGCGGAACCTAGCCAAGTACACCTCGGCGTCATCATCGTTAGGCTCGTGAGAAGCTGCTCGAGGCTGCTCGAAAGGAGCAGCTGGACTACATGTTGCGCCTGATAAACTCTGCGGTAGAGATACTGACAGCGATACGGCTTCGTCCGTATGAGGTGCTGGAACTGCATGCTCCTGGGCCGACGGGTTCGATCCGTTCAGCAGGCCCGTCTGGCCCTGGAGGATACTGTACAATCCGTCCAGCTTCTCCTCAAGCTTCTGGACATCTTTTGCAGCGGCTTTGGCCACAATCCGGCGCTTGCGCACTGGAGGCGATGGCTGGCAGGTCTTCCGGAGGCGTAGGCATCTACCAGACTATCAGCATGGCCAGGACATCAATGAGAGCGGACTAACCGTTCACATGTCCCGGAGGCCTCATTGAGGGCACATCTCGTCTTTGCTCGGACACAGTTTGTACAAGCCCGTACTGTTGGCATTTTGACTCAAATTACACGGCTAGACAGGCATCATACTGGTCGTCAGACAAGATAGACTACTGCTGGCATGCTGGCATGGGGGCTGAACGGAGCGGAGCCTGCGAGACTCCGACTCCGATGTTTGTACTGTGGACGTCTTACGTTGCACTTTGCTATTGGCAATTCACATGAGTGTTATTCATGGCTATTCGACCTCTCAACGCATTGATTGAGTGAAGAATGTTAGAGTGGCACTCTATAACCACTGTTGAGAACCTCGCAATACTCGATCGGTCCGATGCAGATCAGTAAGTAGAGATAAAGCTAGAGATAAGGTGTGGATAACTATTATGCTCTGCACAAGCGAAGCTGACTCACCAGCACATCACATGCTCCGCACTAGTTAGTTAACTATTATCAACATCAACTGACCGGAACCAACTTACTGATCTTATTCCACCTCTACACCTATCTACACCTCAGACCCTCCATTCGTGGAAATGTTCTACCGAGGGAGACATGACCGAACCCTCTAGGAAGCGTTCCCGTGTTGCCTGCACACTATGCCAATCGCGCAAGCGCAAATGCTCCGGCGACCAGCCATGCACAACATGCGCCCAGTTCGGCTCCGACTGCCACTATGACCTCCAATCGCGCAGAAAGCGCGATGCCAGACTATTCCAGCTGCAGTCCGCCGCGCCGGCAGACTCTGCAACGGCCCCTGATGCAGCGCATCCTCCGCGCCACGAGCCCAAGATCTCCCCAGAGGAGACAGCAGCCCGGCTCAGCTCGCTAGATGCCAACTCCGGCGCAGCATTCGCCAGGCGCCTCGGCCTCAAGGTGGATCCCACCAATGCGCCCAAGATGCATCTATTCGCATGGAACGTGGGCGCGCGCCATCTCCCACTTCCATCAATGCCACCACCATCCGCCCCAAAAGCAGTCCCCATCGTGGACACCATCTCGCAGGACGAGATGCGCTCCCTGGTAGCCATCTTCTTCGACAAAGTCGACCCATGCTACCCATTCATCGACCGCGACACCCTCCTCCGCCAAGTCAGTCGCCGCTGGCTCCCACCTACCGCCGACTCGGCCCTCCTCTACGGGCCCTACGACGCCGTCCTCGCCGGCGTCGCAGCCTTCGGCTACCTTTTCTCCCGTAGACAATCCAGCGCAACAGAGCTCCAACTCGCGGAGACAGCCCGGCTCATCCTCGACCAAAACATGCTATCAGACACGACCCCCACCCTCGACACCGTAACAGCATGGGTTCTCCGCGTCTCCTACCTCCGCCTAACCTCGACCCCGAACCTCGCCTGGACAGCCAGCTGCACCCTAATGCACCTCATCGAAGCAACAGGCCTGCACCTCGAGCAACCCTCTTCCGACGCCATTAACCAACTTCCCACCCCAGTCGACCCTGACCTCCGCCGCCGCCTCTTCGGCATGGCCCGCCATCTCAACGTCTGGATCTCGTTCGAGCTCGCCCGCTCCCGCGTCGTCCTCCACGGCGCAACATCCCTGCCTCCGACGCCGCGCGTCCCGGGCACCCTAGAAATCTTCACCCTCTTACCCATGTCCGAAAGCCTCGACCCAAACACAAACAAAACCACCGACCCTCCAGATCTCGAATCTGCCCTCCGCAACGTCCTCGACCAAACCCACGTCTTACCCCAGTTGATTCTCGTGCAATGTAATCTCATGCTCTGCATCTACCGGCGTCTGCGCGCCCTGAACTGCATTATCTCCGGGGACCTGCTTGACCGCGTGCTGGCACTCTCCGTGAAAGGTCTGCAGGCAGCGAGAGAGATGGTCGCGACGACTTGCCCGTGGCATCAGATCGCGAACGTGCCATTTCAGGTGGTGTGCACGCTCTTGGCGATAGATAATCGGGCGTCGTTGGTCATGTTGGGGGGTGCGATGCGCACGCTGCGCGAGGTGGCGGCCGCGTATGATACGGAGGTGATGCGCGAGGCGTATAGTACGGCGTATTTGCTGATTTTGTTGCATCAGCGCAGGAAGGAGGAGGATACGAAGGCGTTGAAGGATGTGCTCAGGGTCAATTCGGGGGCGGGGGCGGACCAGATTGAGATGGGGCTGGGGGGTACGCCTGCGACTGATGCTGGTGGTGGTGATTCTACAGAGCCGCATCATTCGTTGGCTGATTATCCGGGATTCTCCTGGTTGAGTGATCTGCTAATTGATATTCCTAGTTTGGGCAGCTTCGATATGGAGCGGTTTATGTACACTGATGTATAGCGGCGGCAGATTGGTGCCTAAACACATTGTCGAGGTTGGAATGTGTGGGAGGGATGATTACTGCGACTTCTTCTCCTTGTCGCTCTTCTTCTGTCCGGAGGATCGCGCCACACTACCCAGCTTCCACAATACCCACAGCAAGCCTAGAACAATCGCTGCCATCGTGCCTAGCTCTACTGTCTTGCTGCTGAAGAATCCGCCCTCTTCTAATCGAAGCACCGGCACGTCCAACTCTTCAACATGCCGGGCTTTCTCTCCACTAGGATGCACCTGGTAGAACATCGTCCGGGGGCCGAACATACCATCCCAACCTAGGTTCACCCGATCGAACGGGTTCGTGCCCATCTTCGTGCCCTCTTCCGCTGTGCAAGCCCAGAAGACTACCGGCCACGGCACCCCCGCGGAGCGATACCCAGTCTCCGACGGCCGCAGGTACCGCAGATGCAGCGGCACCGTGACATTCCACTCCTCGGGCACCTGGCCTTCAGGCGGCGTAGCCAGCTCAAGCAGCCAATTCGAACCCCAGTGCGGGACAAACCAATCCGGGGCCTCCAGGTCCGTTGCTCCGCTTACTGCCCGCAACGCCAATAGATGGTGCGACTCCAGGAACAGCGGATCATCCGTGCTCAGCTGGTACTTGTCCCCAAAGATATACGACGGCAGCGTCAGATACGCATGCAGCGCACAGGTTGTGTCCTCCGGCGCAGCGGGATACTCCAGCGCAGCGGGGGACAGAGAAATGGTCATAGTCGGATGCGTGCCCGTCGGACGGGGAAAGAAGACATCGAAAGTCGCCTCGCGAGGGAGGACATGGTGTCTGGAAGGGAAGGAGAACAACGTGGGTTCTAAACCGTCAGCTATCATCCCCTCAACAACACACAAAAACGAGAGGAAGGGGATGGATGCATACTCAACTCCTTATCCACCCCAACAACACCCAACAACCCACCAACCTTAATCTCCTCCGCCTCGACTGCCTTCTCCGTCCCCAACAACCCAACTTCAACCCGGTCACGACTCTCCTTGGGCGCACGAATCTCCTCCGTCCATCCCTCCGAAGCACTAGGCTGGCCCCAGTACCCCGAGACCACCAACGACCGCGACACCGCATCATAGTCCACATCAATGCTATCAGCAGTGCCCCAATCCGCAGCGCACGCAGAACCCTCCCCGCGACAGATATTCTCCACGATGTACTCCCCAAGATTATGTTCCGGCAGGGCAGAATGGAATTGATACGTAGACGTGGAAGCGAATCGCGTAGAGAGAACAGGAGGAGTGGTGAAGGAGTCCTACATGTACCAGAATCAGCATCACACACATGTACACACCCCACCAGTAGAACTGAAAATGAAGAAGAAACACATACCGTATAATTTCTACACCCAACCCCCTTCATCCCAAACATCCTCCTTAGAAGACGACATACCCCTTCCCCATCTCCATCCCCATCCCCATTCCCACCCCCCTCTTCATTCCTCTGAAGAGGACTAACTCCCACCCCCACCCCAGCAGAAACCCTACTCCCGAACGGCGCCACAACCACATACGGATCTTCCCTCGCCCAGCGAATATGTACTTCATGCAAACCGTTTAGAATACCTCGGACCTATGAATTCATGAAATCCACATATATTAGCTATCTATCTTTGATCAAGATAGTAGGGGAAAAAAAAAAGGCAATATACCTCATCATCAACTACCTCAGCAACATCAACCGTAACACGAACTTCCTTCGCGGCATCCAGATCACTGATTCTTAGGGACGTCGGGGTGAGGCTTGCTTGGGTGGAGGTGAATGGCGAGGAGGGGGGTTGGAGGTAGGTTATTCTTGTTTTCATTTTCTTTTCTTTGGGGGGATTAGGTGGTGGATAATTGATAATGAGATAAGTGGGTGAGATGGGTTATTGGTATGGTTACTGAGTTGAGTGATCTGGTTGGTTTGCGGAGATGGAGATGGAGATGGAGCGAGCTGGAGCTGTGAGGTGTGATGTTGTTGTTGACCGCTATCTTATCGATAAGCTTAGTTACAGGTTACTCCGTAGTCATTCCTATTTTGGGTGGGAAGGGCATGTGATCAGTGTGATAAGATATACTAGTTTTTGTTCTACTAGAGTAATTGATTATCGGAATTTCCGTTTTTATGTAGTATCATAGTAGCATACATTAACAATTTATCACACTCATACAGGTATATAAGCTTTTATTCCAAGCTACTACTGCTTCATCATCATCACTCATCACATCACGGAACCAGCCGCACGCCCAACGCCATAATGCTAACAGACCAGCGAAATGGGAATAGAAATAAACAGAGGCAACAGGAGTATCAAAGAGGCAAGGAAGAATCACGGGAGAACGTCCTTCAGAATGTCCTTCTGCGACGCGCTTAGGCTAGCTGGGAACCGCACATTCACCCGAACCACCAGATCGCCGCGCTCGCTCGGCTTCTTCGAGATCGTCATGCCCAGTCCTGGGAATCGTTCTTCGTGTCCGGGTTGTGTCGGGCCGGGCTTGGACACTCGGATGGATTTGCCGTCAATTGTGCGCACGATGCGTTCCCAGCCGGTCAGCGCTTCTTTCAGACTGAGCTCGACTGTTGTGACGAGGTTGTCGCCTTGGCGTTTGAAGTTGGGGTGTTCTTTCTGCTGGTTGTTAGTATTGACTAAGGTAAAATGGGTTTAGGGTGGGTGATGCCTACCTCAGTCACAATCAGATGTACGTCCTGCCGTCCACCCTCCTCTTGATCGCCTACTCCGCGGTACTTGATCTTAGAGCCGGTCCGCAGACCAGGCTTGATATTCGCTTCCAGCGTCACATCCTGCACGGTGCGCTTGCCGCTCGCATCAAAGGTCTTGCTCTTGACAGACACCTTCTTGGTCGTACCGCGCATCAGCTCCTCCAGCGTCAGCGGCAGCTCCTTCTCCATGACCGTAGGCTCGGGCGTAGGCGCGCGCTGCGACGATTGCTTGAATCCGCTAGGCCCGCGACTATTCCGGAAGTTCCGACCGCCGCCGAGCCCACCTCCCAGCACCGAGAAGATATCGTCATCATCCATACCGCCGCCCATACCACCACCCATACCGCCCATGCTGCCTTTGGCAAAGTTCCGGAAGATATCGTCTGCATTGCTGAACCGGAACCCGCTGCCGCCGCCGCCGGGACCAGTCGAGAAGTGGAATGTCCGAGTACCGCCACCGCCGCCGCCAGGCATGCCGCCGAACGAGAAGCCGCCGGGCATGCCACCTTCGAAGGGGTTGGGGCCGTCGGCACCACCGCCGCCGCTGGACGGCGGGGGACCGCCACGAAGGAGATATTCAAGGCCGAATTGGTCATAAACTTTTCGTTTTTCAGGGTCGGAAAGAACCTCGTATGCCTGGGACACCTCTGTTGAAAATTAGCACCATTGGCCTAAAAATGGAGGCTGGGGCGGGGTAAATAGAGTCAGAACATACCTTTGAACTTTTCCGAGGCGGTCGGGTTATCCTTGTTCTTGTCGGGGTGGTACTTCAATGCCGCCTTACGGTAAGCTTTCTTAATCTCGTCCTGTGAGGCATCGGGCCTGATCGAGAGGGCATCGTAGAGTTTCGTTTCTGCAACCATTGTGGAGTCGATTGGCGAGGGCCAGAAGATAGGTCAAAGGAACGGGAATCACGAAATCGACAGACGTGGTAGAAATGTGAAGCACGGCTCTAATTGGCGAGTCCAGACACCATATAAGCACACCACGAGGGGGTCACACCACGGGGTGAGATGGGGGAATCGAGGGGAGGGGAGCAGAGTCTCGAATGACGTAGAAGATTCAGCGATCCGCGATCCGATCAGAGTATATCGACGGGAGTTAATGTAGGTTATATAGGGGTGGTTTCAAGACATAAGGCACAGTAAATGATGTATCTGAAGGATTAGCGGAGAAGCCAGGTGTGAGGACGAGGGCTGATGTATAGTGCAGCGCCGGCGGCTTTCAGGTGAGCCTGCGGTGACGTGTGACGTTGACCGCAGCGGTCGACCAATAGAAGGTTCGAGAAGGTTCGATGGCCGCGAGGGAGGGGTCAACCCGTGATGCCATACGGATTGTTCGGGTGATAGCAGTGGAGGTAAGACTAGAAGGGTCCAGCCGGTGGATATAGAAGTTTGACAGCCAGATGGAGATATTGAGATGAACTGATGGAAATGAGCTGAGATGCTTCAGTCTTCCATTTTGGGCAGTCAGCCGGCCACTTGCCAGATCGAGCTAGCATCATACATACGTATGGAGCTTAGTCAGTTTTATCTTTATACAGTGTATACCATCTATATCACAACCAACCACCACACTACCAACATTGCACTTAACATCAGTGTCCCAACGGGACCTGTGCTAACTGATCACCATCTCCACTGAACGATCCCTGAACCTCAACATCCTCAACAACAACCCAATCCTTCACCACCGCCTCCCCACTCAGCACCCGTTCCTTCTGCTCATCCGTACAAGTCGAATCCATGGCCAACAAATAGCACGTTGGTTCAGGGCTCTCTGGCACCTCATTCTTAATATGCCACGTCGATGACGGTCCCTCCGTTCCATAGTCCTGGTTCTCCACCAAGGAGACTCCTCCAGTCGCAATATCCCAATTAAACTGAGCCCGATTAAAGATCTCATACGCCGTCTCAGGCTGATAGAACGGCACCTCATGGCCTGCCTGAAAGACACGCGTAAATGAGAAGTTCCCATACTGCCTGACCAATCCCCCAACGTAGGATGATTTCGTCTGCACCTCTGCATACCCTGCAGCCCGGAACTTCTCTGCTTCAGCATACTCCACCAGCAGACTGACATCTTCCCCGCCGCGCCATGGACAGGCATAGTCCCGGTCCCCATACACCATAGCCACCTTGACACCAGAGTCAAGCAAGTACCCAATATCCCCGATCATCCCGCGGGGATCATTGCGAGGGTAATCACCTGTCGAGTCGAAGCTGTCTCCCACTGCCTCTGACGACATGGTATAGTTCACCGGGACCCCGAGCGCCTTTTGCACCCACGGGCGATTCAAGAATCCGACGAAGTAGGGCACAAGCGCTGCATCTGGTGTGAAATGCGCTATATCGTAGTAACCCCGTCCAGAGGTATTCGTATACAAACTCTTGATCTCCCTCGAACAATACTCCGACGCCTCCGCGCAGATGCTATTCACCGTCTCATTATCCCCATACATGAGAGGATCCCCAAGCTCGCCCGCATCGCGACACTCGATAATCATATCCCTGCATCCACCCGGCTTGCTCCAGTTATCCATAGCCCTGTCGTAAAGCGTGCGATTAATCCCCTCAATCCCATACGTATTATTATACGCCATCTCCGGGAACGACGGGACCTGAACGAGTAAATCCACACAGCCATTGATAATCCCCAACGTATCCAGATGGATTTTCTTCCCAATACTCACCTCCCCACTCTCAATCCGCTCATTCATCTCCTGAAACAGCGCCGTATACGCAGGCCCATACCGTCCTCCATACGACTCCGTCCATATACTCACCCTGTCATCACCCTCACCAGCAGCAGCAGCATACTCAACAAACTCCCCCAACCAAACCTGCAACGCAACCCATAACGCCCTCCCCCCATTCACTGTCCCATTAACCGTCCCACCCACATCCTGACTCGGCAGAGTCCCTACCAAAAACGTCTCATTCTGCCTTACCCCATCCCAATCACCTTCCCCCACATCAACACTAACATCAATCTCCCACTCACCAAATCCACCGTCCCATTCCTCAACACATCATAACTAAACCCCGTCTGGACGGGCTGCTCCACATACAACATATCAACATACTCATTCCACGACCAGGGATTAAAGCTCGTGGAATTCGAATCCGGATTCACCACGCATGGTCCATTCTCTTGGAATAATCCGATCATGGAGGATCCGCCTGGCCCGCCGTTCATCCAGATGGTGAGTGGCGATGATGAGCCATTATGGTGGTGGTGGCGGGCGGGAAAGTACCAAAAGAAGGTATTGATAGGGTATGGTTGCGATATGCTGATACCCGGGATGGAGAGGTTGGTTAGGGTGTGCGGGGGTAGGTGGATGTAGCCGGAGTAGCTGGTGGTATCGGTGTTGGTGCAGATGCCGAGGGGCTGGGGTACAGTAGTAAGTATTATTAGTTAGGATGGTATAGGATGGGAATTGAAGTTGGGGTAGGGTGTAAGTAGCCCAACCTGTTTATAGGAGATTTTTGCCCCCGGGAAGATTTCAGACTCGATGATGGTGAGGTCCTCCGGTGTGGGAGGGAAATATGATTGTCCTGCGACTAGGGTGGTGATGGTGGAGATGGTGATGATGATTCCGAGGGAGGGCATCATGGTGATTGTCTAGGTATTTATCTCAATCTGTGCAGAACTCTCATGGAGAGTTCATCAATTGCACAGAAAGAGAAAAGAGAGAGGGAGAAAAAGAAAAAGAAAGTAAAGTGTTACAGGGATTTGAGCGAAGGAAGTAGTATAAATACTAACTAACTACTGTAGTACTACTGCTAGGGGTCTGATAACGCCATCGCCGATAAGCCGGCGGATCGCCGGTTGTCACTGTCTCACAATCTCACTAAGTTGATCGAGTGGCCGTGCACTCGCTCCACTCCACTCTCCCGTAGGTATGTATGGGGTAACTGGCAGGCAACTGCCGAGAATATCTACAAAGTATGTTTCACTTTATGATATACTTCAGCAGGAAATCAGCCTTGGTTCAAGCGGGATTGATCGACATTACTGTATTGGTTTAGAGCGCGCCATGATGTCGGTGGCTCGATCGTGATCGGTCATATACAGATCAGGTTTCGCAGTTCCGTTCCAAGGTAATGCAGTCTACACAATGCTATTGCATTACAATCAATATGTCTGGAGAAGAGAACATAGGGATATATTGTCAAACTCAAATCACGCTTTCAAGCATCTTACCACGTCCCAGTATCCATCCCGAGACGCCCAGGTATCCATGCCCAATTTGAAACCAAACACCACGCACGCTAAGACTACCATTACAGTATGACACAAAAACATAAAAACAAGAGCTGGAAACGCGATACAAACAGCCGAAACACAGTGGGAATCAACATCAATATGCAATATGCAACGGGATGGATCCCAATAACAATATGCCAGAAGGAATATATACAAGGAATGGCGGTATGTGCTTAGCACTCACGCAGTCTGGGGTTGCACCGTAGACTCCACTTTGACGTGGTCCTCAGAAGTGATGGTCTTTGTGGGTGCCAGGTCTGTGTCAGACTTCGCCCATGGGGACACATCAGACTCGTGAACGTATGTAGGAGTGCTTGCATCGGATGATGCCTCGTGGGTTTTCTCGGTCTCAGTCTCCTTGACCTCATTAGCCTCTGTCTCGGACGCCACGTCCGAATCGTGCAGACTGGATACCGAGTGGAACTCTTCACGGTCTGGTGAAGGCTTGTTGGATGACTCGGGAGCACCGGTAGAGGACAGGTCACTCTCCGAATCGCTCTTGTGGTACAGAGGCATCTCTGTGAAGCCGTACGTGGCGTGTCCCGGGCTAGACGCCACGGAACGCCGGCGGCTGTGTGCGTAGGGGTTTACCGTAGGCGAGCTAGGAGTCGAAGTCGAAACAGGAGCGGGCGTCCGCTGGGGGTTTCGGGGTGGGAGGGCCGGGGGCATCCGCTTGGAGATCGTCACAAGGCGTGCCCGTGTGAATGTGGGCGAGTGACGCTTAAACTCGACAGGAGCGATGGAGTCTTCGACCGGGACAGGCGAGTGGGCAGCACTCTCGCGCTTCGATACAGTGGCGCTGCTGACTTCGTGGATTTCCACATCGTCATCCAGATCCACGTCTTCGACATCATCCTGGCCGTGATATTCGTCGTGTTCTGGGATGACAGTCTCCCATCGTCCCTCCTCGTTATCCCAGGGACTGGTCTCAGCGCGGTCGGACACGTCACGGTAGCTCCGGGAGGAGGCACGGCTGATAGAAGTCGGGGCAGTCGTGGGACCATCATCAGTTTGGGTCCCTCGGTCCATACTGGCGTAGCTCTGTACACTTGCTCGCCAGCTATTGCGTGGTGAGCTGTCGATGCTCCGTCGGAAAGTCGCAAATATCGGGCTGTTCGGGCCGGGTTTAAACTCGAACACTTCCTGCGATGGTCTGGATTTCGTCCCAGCTTCACGAATAAAGAGACCCTCCGCCTCCAGCGCCTTGACACCAAACGGATCGGGGTCCTCGGGGTCGGGAATGCCGAACGAGCCCGGTCCAGGCACAATGTCAACATCCCCAGGGGTTTCCCCGGGCGGCAGCAAGTTTTCATCCACAGTTGGGTTGCCCTCGGCAGCTTTCACTGTGTTCAGCAGCGTTTGAATCGATGCAGGAGGCCGTTTGGCCTTGCCCGCGAGAATGTCAGTAACCGATATGCGCTCGCCATAGAAGCGCTCGTTCTCATCGGTACGCTCGATAATGATGGTACCATCCACAGCAACACCAGCATACAAACCGCGACTCTTCATGTAGGTCCAGATGGGGGCCTGCCGCTTGTGCACTTCCGAATCAAGCACGCCGCCCATCCCAACCGGACCGGCCGCAGCGCTGACTTCTCCACCCAAAGTGCATCGCACTTTCTTGAAAGCCTCCAAGGCCTCGTAGGTATTGATGACCACCACACAGTCATAGATATCCACGCCCGCCAGGAAACCGATACCAGCCGTATGAAGCATGATACCGGAAGGCGGACTCCATTCATTGGTATCTGGGGTCCGCGCCAGGAGCACACCACTACCGCCCGAGCCACTGACCCAGAGGCCTGTGCGCATAGTAGTGAAGATAGCGAGGCCCTTGGCGCGCTGTATAACCCTAGCGGGGATCTTCTTCATGACGCGCTGCTTGCCCTTGGGGCGATCGATCTTGCCGGATTCTTTGCTGACCGAGCTGTCCGTGCTTTGACGATCGGCATCTTCATTGGAATAGAAACCATCTTTGCAGAAACTTCGGAGGATTCGCGCAGCTTTGTCGCTTTCTTTATCAAGGGTCATGGGCCAAAAGGCCTCTGCGCCGACCTTGTAGGATAGCCGGTTGACGGGATCGCCCAGCTTGTCGAGGGTATGCCATGCCTTATCGAATCCTTTCTTAGATGTGCCTTTCGTCTTCTCCCACAGAGTGGAAGGCATGGTGGCGACTCAGAATCCCGCGGGGTCTCCAAGTCTACCAAACAGAGTGACACAGGATGGAGTCCTGAGGACCGCGCAGTGGGTAAAGAGGCAGTCTATAATTGCGGGTGCAATGGCAGCAGTAGACGAAGACGGCCAAAATATTTCACATAAAGTCCCAATGCAGCCGGGAATGTATAAAGAGGCAGCAAACGGGCGCAACAGAAGTTGGGGTGACAACCGAGGAATGCGGGTCCGGAAAGTGGTAAGAATGTAAGCCAACTATATAGTATCCGGAACGTCAGTGATCTGCGATGAAAGGAAATTGCATGTATTGAGGAAGGAGACGTAGGTAGGAGAGGGCCATATTATTAAAAGGCAAGAAGACCTCGAGCTTTTCGCCGTGCTAGCCGTGCGTTCCAGACCTCGCCTTGAGTGGGTGGCGAGCAGCTGGAGAACCGGTGACATACGAGGAAAGGAAGGAGGGGAACCATGGGACGGGCAAATGGCATTCGGGGGTCGGCTTACCTCCGCCTGAGCCTCGCCAGGGCCACGAAAAGAAAAGAAATTCAAAAAGTGACAATATATCCGAGAGTAAAGTGGGAAAAGGGACCAGATGAAACAACAGCTAATTTCCGTGTCCACCACAAGTAGGAGCAGGGACAGTTTATGTAGGAGATGAGAGGTAAACCCCAGAGTGGAGGGGGTGATCGACCCGTAGGACCCGTCGGTCAGATGTGCTAGAGATGTAGGCTGGATGTATGACCGAGAGCTAATGCAGTTGAGGGGGAAGAAAAAGCAAGCAAGCATGAAGCAGAAAGGGAAAAGGATGGATTCTTCTTTTCACAGAAGCAAGAGGGGAAGACAAGACTAAATGGAAGAAGTGTGCAGAGCCGTGGATGCGAACCAGGCACAAATACTCACACGGCTGGGTCGGAAGGGCATGGTTGGACTGGAAGTAAGTGGGAGGGAGGGAAGAGTGGCTGGCCGGAGATGGAACGGCCGGATGAAAAAAAAAAAGGTGTACAAGAAAGTCAAGTCAGTCAGCCAGATGATGACGAGGAAGTGGAGGGGAGTACAAGAAAAGGATATTAATTAGGCAGTCATTCATCCATTTCCTTCAGTCTGGTTCCGGATGCATGGCATCATGGCAGCATCAGCGTCATCGCTTCGCCGCGCCCGATAAGCCGATCGGATTAGATTTCTACCCTAACTTTTTCTACATTTATAATTTGCCCGTCGGCTGTTCGGATGTAGAAATAGATACTTTCCTCTACATTCTTCTATCCTAATTGATAATCATTCATTGTCTTTCAAATGCTGTTCTCGCAATGCTTCTCTCCCGTGGAAGAAAATGAAAGTATCCTGGAAGAATCCTCAACCCTTCAACCCCCAAATGACAGCGTCATCGTCTACGTACCCGATGGCGATGGCGATGGGGCCAAGAGTCCCTGAACCAGATCCCCAGCTAATCTATGTCTAGTCTAGTTTAATTTTCTTCTTGCTGCCAAAGTAAACCCACCCTCACAATTTCCTTGTTCAAAAAAATTTTAAATTAACAATCAAAAATCAAAATAAAATAAAATTCATTTTCCGATTAACTTCCACTAGATCCGCGTGAATCTTCCCCTCTTCATCCCTGCGTACCCTCACAAGGGATGTATCAACTTCCCACCCGAAGAATATGACAGGTCCAATCGCTTCTTCTACCGTGATTTTGTTTTGCTTACGTGCAGTGGTGCTGCTTTATTTTTTACTTTTTTTTTTTTTTGACCTTCTTCCTTCAGCCCCAATACCAGCCAGCCAGTCCAGTCCAGTCCACACCCTACCCTAAACTAGTATCTACAGTAGCTAGCTAGCTCTGTCTGTCTGGCCCCCATCCATGGATGGGTAAATTGTATCCCTTCGCATTGATTTGGTGTACCCATCCATCCATCCATCCCCTCGCTTCATTTCCTTCTCGTCGCCCAGGCAAAAGAAAATTCTCTGCATTAGTTTCATGTTGTCTTTTCTCCACTATCCCCTCCAACCCTAGCTGCAGAATTAAGTACAATAACTAAGTAGGTAGTAAGTAAACAAGTCACCAGGTTAATATGGAAGTAAATACGGATACTGTAGCTGGTTAACTCACTCCGAAAGTAGAAAAAGAAATAATATCCTGTCCCTGACAGGTCCAATTTCCTCCCTTTTTTCCTCCACCCCCAATCGAGATCCAATAGTCTAGTCTAGTCTACTCGGGTTAGTTCCACTTCTCGCCAACGACAGGGAAGATGCGTTGCTTGGGATACTATACCACATCCTACTTACCTTCCTACCTACCCTCCGGTACCTACAGCAGGGCATGATCATGCTCAATTGACGCAAGTGGCTCACCTCGATCGTACCGTTCCAAGGGCGAGACGCAAAGCAAAGAAAAGAAAAGAAAAAAAAAAGGTACCTTGTTACAAAAGGTACCACAGACCTAGACTACCTACCTACTTAAATCCTATCTACTACCCCATCCAGTTAGCCCAACCTGACCAGTCCAACCCAAATCATGTTACCCACCCCATCAACCCCCTTCAAACAGAGTTTCATCATCCCGGGGCCGGGGGGCCATCGAAGGAACGGGAGGAACGGGAGCAAGAACTCACGAACTCACGAACGAACCTCTCTCATCTCATTTTTTCCCCTGGACACCATGTGCGCATTTAGAACGAGAAAAAAATTTTTTTTCACTTCCCGTGTTTCTTTACTGTTGGATATATCATATGCCATCGGTGGGATGGGATGGTAGGGGCCCACGAGGATAGTAGGGAAGTGGATTGATGCGGTTATTGCGGTTCAGAGGGATACTGAGGACGGAGTGGGTGATCAGAGAGTGGTATGTATTTATCCCTACTTCTATGCTAAACTAAGCTCATGGTTTGGTGATGGGTAGGATGGTAGGTGTTGTATATCCCCTCTATTTGTACTTGACTATAGATAGTATAGGATAGTAGAATTTAGTAAATAGAACAGAACATTCCACAATCCCTGGCCCTACCCTAGCAATGCGAAACACTCCAGTCTACTCAGTAGTTCAGCTGAACCACAGATGGATCCCTGTCTACTCTACTGTACTCTGTAGGACAGGCTATTCTTAGACGAGACGAGACGAGGCAACTTCGGCCGAAACATCACCCTCACCCTCACCCTAACTAATCATCCAGTCAGCCAGTCAATTCGACGATCGTAGCACTTCATGAGACTAACTAATTAGCTAGCTAGCTAGCGTACTATATACACCATCCCCAACAAACCATTTACAATGATAGTAGATGGCAGTGTTCCTGTCATAACACCCTAGTGGATCAATAGCCGAAAGGCAACGAGTCATGTCCATACGTACTGTAGCTACTCTGTTAGACCGCTAAGCTAAGGATCAGAAAGTTAGATAAACAAATGGATGGATACATACGTGCTTCCGTGGATGAATTGAGTTTTTTTAGTTTGGGTTCTGTTCGAGTTGGTGTTCGTGTTCGTTTGTTTGCACTACCAACCGTGCCTGATATGATGTATCATCCAACTTACTGTAGGTACGAAGTGGACGGTAATCGGGCGGGATGGATCGATCGGAGGATCATGTACAGTTAGTACATAGTTGGAATGCGAACGGGAGTGTCGTTCATCACTTACTCACTCTGTGTCTGTGTGTCTGCTTGTCTGTGTGCTTGTTTGGCTCGTGGAATGTATGCAGTTGGGTTGAAGGTTAACTTTACTACTACTACTTTACTCTACTACTAACTATATCTAGAGGTCATGTGTAGGCGAGTATCTAGTATAAAGGTGTAGAGTCTATATATAATCATAGTAGCTTCTACTACTGAATATATTTAACCTGAGAATTTTATATATCTCCAAACCCACTCACTAGTATTAATTCCTATTAGCAATACATAGTTCCACTCCATTCCCATCCCTTCCATCTACCATCTACTACCCACGGTAGCTAGTAGATAGTATATCTATACAAATGATATACATCCAACAAAACATCTCCATCCAGACTAGCTTAACCCTGATATCAAACTAGTACCCATCCTAGTGCATGCAAAATTACCATCACACCCCTAAGTTACTCCGTACAGACCATGCTAGTAAACATACATCTACCATCATCTCGATCCGATTCGATGAAGCGGCTGGTTCCCGGTGCTTGGGTCCCACGCTGGACTACTGGACTACTGGTTGCGGGTTGCCATCTATCTAGCGGATCGGGATCCCCGGACGGATTATAATCGACTAGCTTGGTATTAGTGCATGTGGGTAATTGGTATATGTCAGCGTGACAGGGGGAATAACTAGTTATTAGACCTGTGTCATATTGAGATTTAGCTTGTCAGGTCACTACGTAGTAGTTGCCGATGAACTCCCGAGTTCAGCTAGCTACGGAGTAGACAGCTGGATAGTTCGTGTGAACTACTCTCCTACTCTATCAGGCAATTGCTCCTGTCCCGATGAGTGATTCGTGCGGTCGACCCACTGTAGCAGGTATAGCCAGCCACGGTTAGAGTTAAGCATAAGTAAATAGTATATCCACAGCAAGGTTATGATCCGCGGGAGATAAATGAAATGAGAAATAAGGTCCAGCCGGTTCAGCTGATACTGGACACGAGTCTAGTCGTAAACATACACACACACACAAAGGTATACCTATTGTTGTATCCAATCATCTGTCCTAATCCACCTCTACAGAGCACCCAACTCCTTCAGCTTGCCGATCAAGCCGTCGACATCCTCGACCTTGCCACCGCCCTGGCGAGCGGGGGGTTCTGGGACGGTAAGTCAGTACATAGAACAGCGCCGGGGTGCACATGGAAGGGCAGGGGGCAAACTCACCAGTAACCTTCAGAGTCTTCAAACGCTTCTTATCCTCAACACCGAAATCCGCCAACGTCTTCTTCTCCAAAGGCTTCTTCTTAGCCTTCATAATGTTCGGCAGCGTAGCATAGCGGGGCTCATTCAACCGCAAATCCGTAGTGATAACCATAGGCAACTTAGCCCGCAGCGTCTCAACACCACCATCCACCTCATGTGTCACCTCCACCGTACCATCCGCATCCTTAATATCGACCTTGCTGGCCTGCGTCGCCTGCGGCCACCCCAACAGACCCGCCAGCATCTGACCGGTCTGGCCCTGGTCGCCATCAATCGCCTGCTTACCCAGCAGCACCAGGTTGATGTTCTCGGACTTGACCACACCCTGCAGCATCTTGGCGATCGTCAAAGGCTCGGGACCACCATCGGGGCTGTCGCCGACGTCGACGTGGAATGCGCGGTCGGCACCCATGGCCATAGCGGTGCGGAGGGTATCGGCGCACTTGGCTCCGCCAGCGGAGAGGGCGAGGATGTTTTCGACCTTCATGGGGCTCTGGTTCTTGGTGCCGCGTTCGCGCAGGCGAATGGCTTCTTCGACGGAGAGTTCATCGAACGGGTTCAGGGAGTGCTTGACACCGGCGGTTTCGACGCCGGTGTTGGCCTTGTTGACGCGGGGTTTGACCTAACATTATCAGTGATGTTCAGCATGATATATCGTGCCGGAGTATCGTAATATTATGGTGAGTGTAGGTGTTGGTGTTGACGAAGCACAATTGCAGACTGCGCGTGCGGGCAACTTTCGCTCGGAGATGTGACTCTTCACCGAGAACGGAGCAGGAGAAGCACGAGGCGACAAAATCCAAAACTCACCGCATAGTCGATAACCCGCTTAATGGGGACGAGAATTCGCAAGCCGCTCATTATGACAATAATATGTGGTAAAGGGACTTCGGAGGGAGTGAAGGGGCAATGGAGGGGAGGGACAGCAGCGTGAGGGGCGTCGACTCTTAAAGCGAGCAAGAAGCCGTTTTGAGGGAAGAGTAGAGAGACACCGATCCGTCGGAGCAGCTGCTGCTCCATCCGCGGCAGAAAACAGGTGACCTGGGCGGAGAGTCCGCCGAGGCGGGCCGAGATTCTAACCACGCTTGTTGCTCTTCCGCCGCCAGCCGAGGTTAGCCTCCTCTCTTATGAGACTTTGTACAACAAGTTGACAAGTTTAGCGGGGTAATATGTATTCAAATGACCTCATAGGGTGGGTATTGGTTCTATTCGAATATCTGGGTATATTGCGTTTCTTTACTCTATCCGCATGGTGTCGGATCGGGCAGACATGCTCGCTCTATCTATAGGTGTTGATGGTATAACCGCTTCACATGTGACAGTACCTCTTGAGGCGGATCACCAAGTTTCCTGCTTATACCGTCCCGTCTTCTCCATGCCAAGCAGATACTGCTCGGCCCCTTGTTCGTTGAATCGATCGGTTTCCACCTCTGCGCCGTGCTGGAATGCTTCCGTCAGCGCCTCCCTTACTGCCTTGGGCATCTGTCCAGAGGAGCCGCAGATATACACCGACCCTGCCATGTCATGCAGCAGCTTGAATAGCAGTGCATAGTTCTGGCGGATTACATCTTGCACGTAGACTTTTTGTTTTTGATCCCGGGAGAATGCCGTGAGCACGTTCAACTTGATCAGCTGACCGAGCTGCTGCCATTCGTCTTCGAAGAAGAAGTCTGCCTCACGATTGCGACCGCCGTAGAGGAGAAGCGTGGGTCCGATGCTGAGCTCAACCCCAGGATTTTCCTCCTGATATGCCTTAATAATCGCTGCTTTTTCCCACAGCATGGATCGTAGTGGTGCCAGACCGGTGCCGGGACCCACTAGGACGGTTGGGCCAACGAGCTGGTTGACGGAGGAATTGAGTCCACCGCGCTGCAGTTGTACCTTAAGAGTGCTTCCGGGTCGAAGCGCAGATATATACCGTGTACATACACCCTGTCTGATCTTTTTAATGACGGTCTGGTACTTGACAATGGCAATCATCAGTTCAAATTTGGTGCCACCGTCAGGACCCCTCTTCAGCTCGCCGCCACTAGCGATACTGAATTGTCTCCCCTTAAGGACAGGAAACACTGAGACAGCATGCTGCCATGGAACCTTGACCGAGTCAAACTCATGCAAGACTTCCAGAATACTCCGTCTCGGACGAGTAGTATAATCCCACAGCTCGTCAAGATACTCGGGGCTGGTATACGTGAACTCTAGTAGACGCTCCTTGTGCATCTCATCGCTCGTGTAATGCGCAATCTCCGCAAAGAAGGACCGGCGCGGGATAGCCTGAATATCGAGATAGTCTGTAAGCAGCGCCCTGAGCGTCAATTGGGGGTAGGAGTCGAGACCCCGAATAGGCGGCAAAGGGAGATCATCAGCAGGAATATGGCTATTAGGAACCAGGCTGATGAGCTGATCAGCTTGTTCTTCCCAACCCATCATCTGGATCAGAGCATTCACGTCGGTGGAGAAGTTCTTGGGAGTAATGCATAGCATATCACCAGGGACGTAGGAAGTATGTTCAGGCACAGTAAGTGATACATGACGCACATCCTGCCAATGCTTCTGCGGAGTCAATCGCTTATTCTCCCTAAGCGTTGCCGTCAAAGTATCGGGCAGAGGCCGCAGATCATAATCCAATCGAGTCAACTTCGGATTATCATCGGGGGCGGGTAGATTCTCATGTGTGCCGGGAACTGCATGTCCTTCCTGTGCTGTCGTCGAAGCATCCTCCTGGAGCTTCAAAATCCATTTCGGCGGCAACTGAACATCATCCGGTATCGGCTCCAGCCCCTCAGGCAGCGGATACGTCTCGAGCAAATGTGTACGAAGACCGGTCAACCACGGAATGAACGTCCCTTCGAGTCTATACAACACAGTTAGGAGACACCCACCAAATAGAGATGAATAGCTAAACCCACCCCTCCGGATGCTGTTGATCCGCTTCCCCAGCATCATATATGTCATTCGCACCCAGTTGCAACAACCTCTTATGTAGTTTGCGTGCCGCCCAATTGAACCTGTCAAGCCAGCCAGTCAGCCATCACCATGTCCTCTTCCAATCCATGTATGAGATCGAATAAAACCCACTTCGGATAAGAACTATCCCCCAATCCAAACGACGCAAACCGAACCCCATCCAAATAGTTCCCCGGAAGCCTCTTCAGTAACAACGACCTCCAAAACGACCTCGCATTCGCCGGGAAATCACCCTGTCCTGTCGTCGCGACAACGAATATAACGAGCGTATGCGATTTCAACACCTCCTATACATCATCACATACACCAGTTAGCATGCATTGCAACACCCACATCCACATAGAACACAATTGAAAGGTGAAAACTCACCGGCCTATACACATTCATCTCCCCCACATGGGTCCGGAAATGCAATCTCTCCGCCAACGCCCCCAGCTCCTCGGCGACTTCCTGCGAATTGCCCGTTTCAGAGCCATACAGGACGAGAGCCGAGCGCCGCGGTGGGAGTGATTGGCTGCCGTTCATTGTACCTAAGTACTGCACCCTGTACTATCTCCCTGATAGCGTGGTGTGGTGATGGGGGGGGGGGTTGGCTATCTGTCACTTTCGGCTTATCGCGGGTCTTCTTTTTTTTCCCTTCCCCTCGTTTTGGCTTGAGGGGTTCTATCCGATCGTCCAGTTGGCGCGAGATAGCGGGATGACGTCATCCCGAGGATCGGAGAGGGTTGGCAGCATATATGGGAGGTAGATAGTTGGGATGTTTATTCATTGCTTGGTGTTGGGGATGGGATATGGTGTATGAATATAGTTATGAGGAGAGAAGTATTGGTCACTGTGATGCTGTACCGGTACAAATCGAAGAGACATTCGGAATGTGAAATACTCCGGCAATGGAATGAATATACCCAATCAACCATAGTAATAAACCAAAGTAACCGCTAGATTGATAAGATCAACCGACAAAGAATAATAGTTTTGAACAAAGGGTATCTCAAGAATCCAGCTCGATCTAATAAGTATCCTCCTCGCCGCCACCACCACCATCTCCGAACCCATCATCCCCATACTCGTCATCACCACCATCAAAGTACTGCTCAGCGTTATAATCCCCACCCATCTCATCATCGTCATCCTCAAAGTCATCATCTTCAATCTCCTCCTCGCCTTCCTGCTCCTCCTCCGGATCCAGAATATCCCCGTCCCCATCATCATCATCCTCAGCCCCCTCACCCTCCTCACCACCAGCCTTCGCTCGCTTCGCCGCATCCTCATCCTCCTCTTCATCATCGTCCTCAAATCCCCGCTTCACCCCAGCCCGCGCCACCTGCGGCACATACCCATCCATCGCGGCATCGGGCTTGAACGTCGGCTGAATCGTCTGCCACAATTCGCGGGGGAAGAACTTCATCACTACCGCCACAATCCCATTAGCACCATGTCCCTCTCCCAACTTCCTCGTAAATCATCAGAAACAGAATGATTAAACTCACCATACTGCCTCCCCTGTAACCTCGGCAAAGCCCTCTTCTTCTTCTGATACTTGCCCGAATAACTCGGCATGCCATGGAAGGGATCGAAGTTCGCCCGCGCCGCACTATCCTTCTTCATCGTCGACCCCGCCCCCTCCAGAATCGAGTAATAGGGGCCATCGTGGAACCGTTCCCGAAGAGTGCGATAGAAATCCACCTGCAATTGTTCCTGCGAGGAGAGCGGTCTGGCGCGAGGGACCGTGTATTTCTGTTTGTACAATGACATGATTAGAGCCTCTCCCTCATTCCTTGATTGACGAAAAGCAACAGCAAGCCAGACTGTTATGACAATAACAACAGCAGCAGCAGCAGCAGCAGCAGCAGGGTGAATGTGAACGACATCGGTAAACGCAACAAATCACCCATGTGACAAAGCAACCAAACAAAGAAGCAAATATATCACATCACATCAACCCAAAACATACAGGGAACAAAGGCGTCGGCGCCGTATCATTTTCTCCGCTGGGATCTGCCTCCCAAGTGAATTCGGCTCCGGGGAGCTTTCTGCCTTTCTTTGCGCCGAATCGGGACATGTCGGATTATTAAATGATTCACTGAGAATATGCCCCTTTTTCTCAATCGGATGGAGATGGCTCCGTTGGGGCCCAGGTTGTTTAACGTCCAGGGAGGAAAAGGCCGAAGCGCTGGCGGGCGTTCACTGCGCCATGATCCAATGGCTGAGAAAAAAGTTCCGGCCGAGCTTGGATGTGGCTCACCGCCTGCGGAGATCTGCGCGAATTGGGTAATTAGGGTACCGGGGCGGGAACCCTGGGGTGGCTGGATGGGCCAATCAGAGTGTAGTATCTATAAAGTGTACTGTAGTTACTGTGTAGGAAATGCTATTATTGATGTAGAATTCAATGCTATTGCTGAATGGAAAATTATGAAATAGTACAGGTATCTAATGGCGTGATCGTAAATCGTGCAGTGAGCTGGGAAACGCAGCGCGGCCCTTATAGGCCAACGGTTGCAACCTGGTTCGCAGTCTGGGATACAGGCCCCCATGGCCCCTCGTTCACCCGTTGCCGGAGAGTACGCATGATGTCCTCAAATCCTTCCATTTGTCCCCCATTTTCTTTGAGACAGTCATACAGCGCCACCAAGACTTCGTGCTTTGCCGTTGCCACTTTCCAGACCGCATGCTGGGAATCACCTGCTCCGCCGCCGACAAATTCGGCATATGACCGAGGAGGCTTGAACAGATATGGCAGGAGGATAGTGAGGGCTGGCGGCGTAAGAGCGGCCCAAGCACCCGATGACGGCAGAACTCCCTGTGTAGCCGGAGACAAAGTCTCCAAATCTTGTTCGGTGGGAAGCTGGTATCGGGAACTCCCAGGGACTGACGAGGTGACTTCGCCCGTTAAGATCTGCCAATTAGCAGTGATGATGGATCTCATGAGCGATATTGACGCCAACGAAATATCCTTCATAGCGAGAATATCCGCCGTCGCAACTACATCCGTCCAAAAGTTGGTATGCTGATTAGTGTACATGAAGTACAACGCGCGGGCGGCCGCGGCCTCTTTGTGCCAATCTGTCGGCATCTGGCCAGATGCATTCAACTCCATCGAGTCCGTAAGGTCCTGCTTCACTGGGCCGTGTAGGATCTTGGCCAGCACGTCCAGAGCCTCCTTGTTTGGAGGACTGGTCGGCAAGGCCAGAACAGGGTTCATTTTTTGCTTGCTTGCTTCCACGAGCAAAACGCGGGGCAGACAGGAGAGTACGTTCAATTGCCCGCTAGGAACGGGCCCGTGCGCCCACTGGGAAGTTGAAACTGCCACCGAGGCAGCAATCCGTGACAGTATCCGGTCCAGGAGATACTGTGGGTTTTGCAGGAAGTGGTTGGGATACAGCTCGGCATACTGCGCAACGTAAGTCATGATAGGACCGCACAGGTAAGCCAGGTCCACGGCGTCGAGCTTTGACTCATCCAAGTAATACTCCAACAACGTAGAGTGTATGTTATGCGAGATGAGATAATCCAGTGCGGGAGATGAGAAAGTGGACGCTGAGTGCACAATGGTCCGAGCGATGAGACCGGGAGCATCAATCTCCAGAAGATCATGGAAGAAGTTAATCAAAGTCATGTGCATGAGCACGTCATCCTTGTCAACCATATGGCAGGCAGCGAAATGGAGGAGGCCATTGCTCTGGTATTTCCTCTCAACTTCTGGCACTTGTGGTTTCGAGATGATGTCCCAATGCAGCCGACCCGCCTTCACAAGCAGACCCATCAACCGTCCCTGAGCTACAGTCTTGTCGCGCTTGGACAGACTACCTGGTCCATTATCCGTGAGACTGCAGAGGGAAAATAGCAACCCGTAAACATCCTTATCCGCGAAGATTCGTCTCCAAACGAGTCCTTGACCACCGGTGGCCTCGTCGCCTTCATGTCCAGTATTCTCGAGCGGACTGGCCGAGTCGACCTCCAAGAGCTCCCAAATTGTGTCGAACGCCGCTTGTGCTACGGCCGTAGAAGATGTCGATAACCACAGCTCCACCAAGGACGAAACGAGTTCCGGATCGCCGGCAACGATGGCGGCATCACTAGCGGCGTGTCCTGCCTTGCGCAGCAACGACAAAGCCAACAAGTTGATAGGTTCCGATGGCGCTTTGAAACCGGCAATGAAATTAATCGGAGGATCGACGGAGTGAAGGTCGGCGAAGCTGAGATACGTCGTGGCCTTGACACCAAGAGCGGTAAGAGGAGTCGGGTCCTCCTGCAGGACGGGGAGCAGCTGCGATATCTGGATCATAAGGGTGGCGGGGACTCTGCGATCGACGTTCTCGGTAAGCTCGAGCTTCAACTTTTCAAGAAGAGACGTGTCCAGAGGAGTGGAAGGTTCGCGCTGCACCTGTTCCAGGTGCTGTCGGACCTCATCGTAAGTAGATGGAACGGCCATTTTGATTCCAAACAGATCCACTGTGATGCGCTCCGTGGGGAAGTGAGAGATGAGAAAGGCAAGTCAGGAACGGCTTTCTTATCCCCGGCGGCGGGGAAAGCTGGTTGCAAACGGGACAAACACCCATGACATCTCCGTCAGTCTCCCCGACGATAAGTTCCAGACCATCACAGCTTCCTCCTACCTTTTCGACTCGGTATACCACCTCCTCCTTCAAGGATTTACCGATCATCATGTCTGATCAGCCAGAATCCCTCCTATCGCCTAAGAACTCCGACTCCGGCCTCCATATCCAGCTCCACCCTCTTATCCTCCTGACTATCTCAGACCACATCACCCGCCATGCCGCCCGCTCTCAGCAAGGACCTATAGTGGGAGCGCTTCTAGGCCAGCAGAACGGGCGCGAGATTACCCTGGAACACGTTTTCGAATGTATCGTAAACGAGAATGCCAATGGCGAGCTCCAGATCCCACAGGACTGGTTCGTGGAAAGAGTCAAGCAATGTAAGTCCCCTCCACCTTATCTCAACCATCTACATGTATCTGGAACTCGCTAACCTCCTCCAAGTCAAAGATGTACACAAAGCCCCTGCGCTTGACCTCGTCGGCTGGTGGTCAACTGCTCCTCCATCCGGCCCCAACACCGCGCACCTCCCAATCCATCGCCAGATCCTCCACAACCACAACGAGTCCGCCGTGTTCCTCGCATTCCACCCATCCCTGGTACACGATGCTTCCTCCAACGGCGGCAAGCTCCCCGTGACAATCTACGAAAGCGTATACGAGGGCGAAAATGCAACAGAGAACAGCAAGACAATGCAGGTTGATGGAGAGGAACAGTCCCTAACGATCCGATTCCGCGAACTGCCCTACTCCGTCGAAACGGGCGAAGCCGAGATGATTGGCATCGACACCGTCGCACGAACAGCCAGAAACGCCGCCGTAGACACACCAGGCACATCCTCTCTCACAAAACAAGCAGCCGGCAAAGAACCCACCAAGGACCAGTCAGACGTGCTCTCCCCGGAGGAAGAAGAACGTAAGAGTCACCCCACCCACCATCCCAAACCCGAACCCAGCTCATCACATCACTAACCAATCCAACCCCACAGTAATCGCCAGCCTCACCACCCGCCTCAACGCCATCAAGACCCTCGAATCCCGCATCTCCCTCATCAAATCCTACGTCGCAAGCATATCCGCAGACACCCCCAACTCAACAGCCACCCTCTCCCACCCCATCCTCCGCAACATCAACGCCCTCCTCTCGCACCTCTCCCTCCTCACCCCTGATGAACAAAGCGCCTTCACAGCCGAAGCCATTGCCCAGAGCAACGACGTCCACCTCGTCTCTCTACTAGGACAACTCGGCCAGAGCATCAGCGCGATGCGCGAGCTCGGGAAACGAACCGCCTTGATGAACAGCGTGAGACGGACGGCGATGTCCCGGAAAACGCAACAATTATCATGGCAGAACCGGTTCGCTGAGCCATTCTCGACGGGCGATGGCGTGAGTCATGGATAGGGAGATATCGGTGACATAGATTTAATCGATGTAGCTGATAGTAGTAGTAGACTTTAACGAAATGAATGCATGATCATACCCTGATTGACTTCCATCAACATCAACAATGTTTTTTGCTATGTAGGTTTGTTCCACTGTCGATATCATTGTAAACCAATACAGTTCCCGCAACGCAGTCACGGCCACAAATGTATAGATGTCTATAGTAGTATATCGAAAGTAAAAGATAATATTGTACAACGAAAAAGTATCTACTCTAATCTAAGTAATCTCTATCTCCGCACAAAGACAGCAAGATAGGATAAGAAGTCATAGTATGATGAACGAAAACAATGAAGGGAAAAAAAAAAAAAAAAAAAAAAAAAAAAAAAAAAAAAAGTGGAAGCCCGGGTGATATATAAACAACACACCCTAAGCCCTCCCTCCCTCATCCCACACGTGAGAAGTAAAGCTCCCAGGAAATCAGAGAGATGAGAGAGACAAACCATGAATAGTAGGTAAGTAAATCCGGTCACATCAAAAACCTCAATCTTCATACCGTGATATCATATAGCTAGATAAATCAAACAATCGAAGAAACAGAAAAAGACAGCCCAGGAAAAGTTCAGAGGGTATTATACGACAGATGCACGGAACAGACAGATATAAAATAAGCCAACGCCAAGAGACAAAGATAAACACGGCTTGCTAATGAGCTAGCCGTGGCGCTCTCAACTCTACCCAGTGGGGTTGATGATGAGGAACGCGCAAGAAAGTGAAGAACATGCATGAAGACTTAAGGGGTCATCATACTCCGGGGGTACCGGAGTTTCTTTTGTTGCTCGTCGAAATCAAATCTCGTCGCTTTACCTTCGTTGTTGTTGGTGGTCACTGTCGTAGTGCGGGGGAGGGGGTTGGTAGGCTTCTGGGAGGGGGATAGGGGGCTGTTCTTGCAGCGTAGTGGTGGTGTGGTAGGGGTTGTTGAGGTCGGAAGGATGGTCTGGGTAGGGTGGGTTGGGGTGGACGGGCTCGTGGTAGTGGTCTTGTTCTAGGTGGGAGTTCACGAGGTATGGGTTGTATGCGTCTTCCTCGTAAGGGGAGTACGGCCGGGCGGTATGCGTGGCTGTTGGCTCCAGGAGGGAGGTTGCGCTGAGTCGGTTATGGTTGTAGAAGCGGTTCGGGTCCGCTTCCTCCTCGAGCGGAGGCACGAGACCACCACCGGGGCTTGG